CTTTGCAATCGAGGCGAAAGTCTTCAATAGAGCGACGACAAGGTTATACCAAACTTGCCTTGTGAATGGCTTCAAAATAGGGGCCCATGGTCCCACTGTCTCGCACCTTCAATACACAAACAACAAGCTTCTTTTCTATGAAGCTTCCAGCAATCTAGTGGAATCCCTACTACTCTTTTTGCATTGTTTCCATTTAGCCACGGGCTTCAAGGTTAATCTCAATTAGTAAAAAATGATCGGCATTGCTGTAAATCCCTCTACCGTCCAAGATTTAGCCGATAGTTGAGGTTGTAGAGTAGACACTCTCCCCTCCAGCTACCTTGGTCTACCTCTATGCCATGATAAACCCAAAAACGCCTAGTAGAGTCACCTAAAAGATAAATTCGAGAGGAAATTGGCGACTTGGAAAAGGAGATACCTCTCCCCCACGAGTAGATCAACCGTAATAAAAGCAGTTCTCTTACACTTACCAACTTCGGTGGCCTCCGGGCTTGAACACCTCAAGTGAAACTTTCTATGTTCCAGTGATGGAAACACCAAAAATACCATCTTTTAGCATGGAACATCATGGGCCAACCCAGAGCAGCAGGGGAACTGGGTATAAGCAACCTGAAAAAGAACCACCTGGTGCTACTTCATAAATGGTGGTGGAGCCTCGCTACTCAAGGGGGCCAATTGTGGCATCACATCCTATCTCATAAATACCGTCTTTCATCCTCCCCATGGTACAGCCTCCATAAATGAACTTTTCCCCTCCCGGATCCCTCGGGGGGATTTTCTCGGTATCCTCCCTATTCCACAAAATAAACTCACCCCCCCCCCCCTTCGGGAGTACTGCAAATCTCCCGAGCATTTCCAAAGCATGGAACTCATTCATTCCTTCCAGGATTCAGGTCTTCAACTGGCTCACCATGTGGGTTAGAGTGTTAACAATAGACCAACTCCAAATGAGAGGAATCCAAGCCCCTAATAGATGTGTGATGTGTTTCTCCAATGAGGAGACCACTGCCCTTTTGCAGGCAATATTTGGAATGAGACTCTTCAAAACTCTTCGGTTGGAATTGGGTAACCCCCCAATCGGTGACCCACCTATATCGGCTCGCAGCCCTCCTTCCGTGGCCAAAGTCTGGATCCATGCTTTGGAAAGCCATGACTGCAGCTATCCTTTGGGCCATTTGGAAAGAAAAAAACAACAGAATATTCCAAGACAAATTCTCCCCCATCCATAAATTAATTGGAAACCACCAGGGGAATGGTGACATTTTGGGACACCAATCACAGAAGCTTTAGGCTCCTGTCTACCTCTGACTTCCACCTAAATTGAGCTAACATCCTCTCCCATAGACCAAGGAAAGTGCCCTGCTCAGCCCAATGGAGGCCTCCCGAGGTGGACAATGTAAAACTTGACTTTGACGGGTCTTCAATGGGCCACCCAGGACCGACCGAAATAGGAGGCATCTTCAGAAACCACCAGGGGATTCCCTCCTATCCTTCTCCTCTTCCATTGGATCAGCAGATTCCGCGAAGGCAGAAGCACAGTCCGTTTTGGAAGGGCTCAGGCTCTTCAACCATTCTTGGGGCTCTTCTCTCATTGTAGAAGGAAACTCCGCAAATGTCATTTCCTTGGCCTCCCACTCATCTGCCCCACAGTGGAGACTTTGGCAAATCTTTGATGATATTTCCGATCTTTGAAGGCATATGCAGGTCTCTTGGATCTGGGGGGAGGCCAATCAAGTGGCCGACGCACTAGCTAAGGAAGGAGCCTCATGGGATTAGCACAAGTTCAACAACATTTTGCACAGTCTCCCTTTTGTTTCTTTTTTGTAATCTAAGCTTGTTCTTGTTCATCACCTCTCTCGGAGATGTATCTAGCCCCTCGGGGTTATATTAAAGTAATTTTCTTTCTACTTAATACAATGTTGACAGTATCAAAAAAAAACGTTCATATCAGTATTTTAAAAAGCATTATGCTGCGAGGTCTAGCAAAGTCTGTATACGTGTTGCACGTGTGTGTGGTGAGTATATAGTTTATTATACACACAAAGATTGCATAACAATACTTTAGTTTAATAGTACTCCACTCTTTAGGCATTGTTGATCTTCCAAGCAAAAGAAAAATCAGCTGCGCTTTAATTGAATTTGATTTCTTCAAGAGAAAAAGGTTCACCATCCAAAAATGAAGGATTAATTATATTTAATTTTGATTTGTTTTATACACATTGATTAGGGTATGGGAGAACATTGGGGGGTACGAATACCCCAAATTCATTTTCCCTCTCCCCCTCAAGTAGGGGGGGGGAGGGAATGAGAAAAAATGTCCATAACCGAGGCATTTTCCATTGACAGATCGGCTGAGCCCAATGAGGGCAGGCACCTAGGGCACTGTCTTGCCCTGAGGTGCCACCTAGGCGCCCGAGGCAGGCCCTTTATAAAGCATTAATTCAGGTAAGTTATTCTCGATTTGTAAACCCCAACAAGTGAACTAAAGAAGTAAACTCAGATACAGATGTACCTATAACATTAAGGGGTTATTTCTCTTGAAGAAGCATCACCAAACAGGCCCGAGAAACAATCCTAATAGACAAGAACCACATTTTTTTTCTTCTGTACCTGACAAGAACTCTATTGCAGTCAATTCAAGGACATCAAAAAAATATATATATTCAGTTTGATGTACTCTGCTCTTAAAAACTTCTCAACTGAGTTTGTAATTAGATTCCCAACAGGTTCTTAGTTTAGGGTTTAATTTCTCTACAAGGAGGTTTCTATAAAATTTATTGGTAAAAGAAAAATAAAAGATAAGATTCCTCTACATTTACAAATAAGCACTACAAATTCGACTAAAGAAGTCAAACATTTAGTAAAAATTTCACTTATTTAATCAAATACCTCGTTTCACCTTTAAAATATTTAAGGCTTAAAATCGGGTTTTGAAGAGCAATGTGATATGATTCAAAATCGCTTCAAGCGGCAGCCAGACCCTTCTAGGTCATCATCATCATCATCATCACAGCCTTTTCCCAACTATTTGGGTCGGCTAACCTTATACCCAAGGTGCAAGGCAATAAACAGCCATGATGGTCTTTCAATGTCCATTTCAGCAGATCCCAAAGGGGCACAAGACTATCAGGCATGGCATATATATCCCAATAGCGCAGATGAAATTCGTTGACAGCTGGCAGAGTGACTGGCCTAGGCGATACCAATCTATACATAGGGACTAAAGCTAGAGGTTTCCTGAAATGGCTTAAACTTTTTGTCTTTTTTCTTTTAATGCTTTCCTTGTGGTCTTTACTATGGAACCTGATCAGCTAAAAGTGATCAAATAGGCCTAGAAAGAGGATATTTATCGCCAGAGATTTGCTAATATAATGGAGGAGATTCTTAAGTTCAGTAGAAGGGGCCACCGACTCTTAGTTCTAAGTGCTCAAAGATGGTAAGGAAGAGGGGGACTCCCTAGCTCAAAACGATCCAGGAAGAATTCCTTATCTATTAGGTATACTCTGTGTTCCTCATAAATCCTGGTTTTGGAGGTTTCACTGATTGTATCCTACATAAAACCTGATGTTTCCTTTTCCCTAAGCAAAGCTTGCAGAAAGCTTCATTTGTTTGGAGTCCAACTTTGGACACTTGCCAAAAATAATTAAAACATACTTACATTCAATAAGAGTGTTCAATAGAATCACAAGATATATATAGAACACTCATTGACATCAAAATGCATATTCACAAAAACATAAAAATTTAAAAATTTAAAAAAAGAACGATGATATATCAAAAATATCTGAAGAGATGCTTCGAAAGATTTCAGAGGCTAGCATCACATTTAAATAATTCATACATAACAGAGATGACAACAATCCATTGCTAATTTAACATGCCCCATTGAAGAATTCGGGAGGCACCACATGGCATTAGATTAATTTATGCAAAATGGCGGGATAACAAAAACCCATGGCTAATTTACCATGCAGTGTTGAATGATTCAGAAAGTGCCATGCAGTGGCCAGGGGGCCTAGCTGCCTCGACACCCGCCTAGGTGGGTATCTCATGATTGAGGCACCCCATAGGCGCAACATCAAAGAAGGGGGCAAGGGGAAGAAGAAGACAAGAAGAATGGGGGGCATCGTTTACAAAGATACCATTTTCTTCAAGATGCAGGGGTTTGTTAGGATTTTTTTGCTAAAAAAGAAAAACAGAAAAAACCAAAAAATTCTTTTAGAAATTGTCTCTCTCTCCTCTAGGTTAAATTCTCTTTCTAATCTTATTTTGTGGGTCACCTTGGAAATATAACATGTTTCCTGGAGGAAGGTCTTCTTGAACTACTCTATCTCTCTCTCCCATCTCCAATTACAAGGATGTTTACAAGTTAACAACACACTTTTTTCATGTAGAACATTGATACATTTGCATCGCAGGTGTTTACAAGTAGATGATAAACTTTTCTATGTAAGAGATTAACAAATGTTCACTCATGTCCCTTATTCCAATTCTTTATTTATACCCACTTTCTCTGTCACACACACACACACACTATTTCTGATTCTACAATGTTTTCGCCCACTAGCCAATAGGCGGCTTTCATGGGAAAGATGCCTTTCACCCTGATCAGTCGTCTCATCCTTTCTCCTATAACGAAAGGACATAAATATGAATAAATTACCATGCAATTGGAGGAGGAGGAAGAGGGCGGGGAGAGGGGGCAAGAAGAAGAAGAAGAAGCAGGCTGAGGTGCACCCCCCCAGCAAAGGCGCTTCGTGTCTGCCTAGGAGGCACCTTGACCATCTAAACAGGAGCCTAGAGCCCCCGTTGCTCTAGATGATGCACCTAGTGGGGTTGCCTGCCTGCGAGGGCAGCCTAGGCGCCAGGGCGTGCAAATATTTCAACAATGTTAACATGTAAAGTAAATCTGTACCAGCTCACATTCAAACCGAGACAGCCCATGCTAAAGAAACTTGAAACGAAATATATCAAGATGAAAAGAACTTGTAGATGCAAACCTTAAAGATGCCACTGAAATGATCTCATCTTCCTTCTCTAGAGTGATAGTGTAAAAACCTTCATAGTTCAAACGGCTGAAATTTGATCTGCAGTGACCAATTTTACAAATCGCCATAGAAATATTTAGAAGAAATGGTAACACCGCAAATAGTTAATTCACCCCAAAAAAGACAAGCAAATAGTTAATATATATATTATATAAATGGATATAATGTGTGATCTCTGATAACCAACATATATCATCCTTAATGTTCAAAAATACGCTAGGGAAGGTTTAAAAAGTCGCCAATCAGGATCGGAATCTGCCAATCCGGATCAGTGTATTGGGAACCGGCCAAGTCACACCTAGAATCGGTGATTCCTGTGGGGTGGATCGCCATTTCACTACACTGGAATCGGCTATTCCACTTTTCAAACACAAACAATGCACTTCGTTCACAGGTTTTTCATTGTCCCATCAATTTTTTATCCACTCGCGACACTTTTTTGGAGAATTATTGGTATGAAATCAATGAAAATGGTTATAAAACCTATACTCAATCGATTCTAGTAACAATCTGAGATTTGTGGATTGAAAAGGTTTCGTCCAAATCAGCCTTTCTTGATATTTTAGCATAGATTTGTAACCACATTTTCAGAAATTTGTTTCTATTTTAAGATAATTGAATCCCATACAGTATTCTTGTTGAAATTTGTTCGATTAAGCTACGATTCCCCATCGATTTTTCTTCCAAAGTCAACAAACCGAAAAGTTCCTGAAATTTTAATAGTCAACCAAAATTGAAGACGACAGTGAGGATTGGGGTCGATTTGGATCCAATTTTAGAAGGGGTTTATGATCTACAGAGATTCAGTTCTCATATAGATTAGGATATTTAAATTTCACTTCATATTTCTTTTCCACAAATTTGTTTTTGCATGAATGTACCACACATTTTAGGGTTACGCCATACCAATTTGTTCTTCCACAAATTTGAATCAAATTTCTTGAATTTTGATTCAAAATGATCGTAGTGAATCTATATTCCATATTACAGATCCAATACAATGAATAGAAATCGAAAAGAGCACAGATTTTGGGCCATTAATATGGACCGGTTTTGGGGATTTTTGAGAAATTGTGTTTCGGAAATTAATATTTATTTAATGAAATTGGGGCTTATGATGCATATGGTTTGATTCATTATTTTTTTCATTTTTTTAAATTTTCCGAATTTCGATATTGTTATTTTCCATTTTTTACGGTAAAAATCTTGTTTTTTAAGAATTGTTTGATGCCATAACATTGATATTTATAAGGGGTTTTATTATCCTTTTTAATCACATGATATGGAAGTGTTTTCTAATTTTTTTAATCATATTTCTTATAATATTACTTATAATAATTTTACATTGATAACAAAATCTTGTATTTTATTTATTAATTTATTTGTATTATAAGTTAGATAATGTATTTTTTTTGCTATAGTTGTAAATAAGATTTTTTAAAATTAGATGATATTATAAAACAAACTTAAATTTATTCTTATTTGTATAGTAAAATAATTATAGAATATAAACCAATAATTCCAATTCCAGTTTATAATATTATAGGTTGTGATAATTTTGGATGAGCAAAGAGAATTAATAAATGTTTGATGTGATACAAATTTCAGTTTATAAGGGGTATTATATTTTTTAATCTAATAATATGGATTTTAATATTTTTTTAATCATTTTGATGCATTCTTATGATTTTAAATTATAATTAATGATTATACAGAGTACAGACATCCAAACAAGGAAACAATGTCTTAGTAGTCACGTATTTTTGCAAATAATGAAAGTACATAACGTAACACCCCCAATTTTTATTTTTTTTTTAAACTTAATTAAAAAAATACTACTTCTAGAAATTTTAAGTAAGTTTTTGAATTTTATTGAGACCAAAACCGAGCAATCCAGTCGATTCTCCAATCCAAATCGCCCATTCACCGGTTTGACACGATTTTTGGGGTACCTGATCCAGGTCACCGGTCCGTTGTTTCAAACCAAGATGCTAGGCAATGACTGTGCGGTCTGGAAGGTCTAACAGCCTAGGTGCTAGGTGGGCGCCTCAGTTTTGACATGTCCCAGTAATGTTTCCATCATTTATATCTAATAATACGCCTACAACTAAACATATAAAGATAATCATGTTGATTAGATAACATATGTTAGCTTTTTATTTTGTTATCTGTTGCTAATAAGTTGGCAATATTTTAATATGTATTACCATTTTATTTCTCTATTATCCAAAGAAGCAATTCCTCTCTTGATAGTTCATAATGAACCCCAAAAGACAAATCTTTGGTTTGTGATGATTTCTCAAACTTCTCAAACTTTTTCGATCTATCACACAAATCCAATTTTTCTTTTTTTCTCAAACCTTAAAAACAAGTTGCCTGAGGACAATTTTCGACCTTGGGCAAGGGGCGACTAAGGCTTAGGCCACATGGGTGCCAAAGGAGGCTTGCATAGGTGTGGGAGTGGCAGTTTGACCATCTAGGCACTAGGCAGGCAGGCCCTTTCATTTGAACAATGATCATCCTAATAGTCTTATGGGAAACTCAATGGTCAACTACAAGAATCTACCTAAAACTACATCAACGATATACCAAGTAAAAACTTGCCCAGCAAAAGAATTAAACCTCTCTGCGAGAGCTTTATCCATCAGAAAGTTACCAATACGTGTTATGAGAATGTGTGTATAAACAAAAATGTCAGTATTAATTTGGTTTTTACCCCAAAAGAACAGCCCAAAGAAAAAAAAAAGTGCCAAAAAGTCAGTGAGTTAAAAAGACCACGCTTGGTTCTAATTTGACACGAAAGAAAAAGTTTAAAAAAAATGGATGTACATATGCTTATTTGTGCGTACATCTGTAAGGGTCGGCCACTGAATTACATTAACTTTCAAGGAAAATAAAGAATGTTAGTTCACAGTGTAAGTACTAAACTAATAAGCAAAATTACACACTATATCCCAATAAGCCATGACTAAGTTGACAAAAATACCAAAGAAGAAAACGTCTATGTAAGCATGAAAGTTTTTTGGAAATTTCTTTTGAAAATGATATAATACTTCATTTTCTTCTAAAAATCAAGTTGTTTAAAATTATTCTAAAACTCTTCTGTTTTAAAAATAATTAAAAAAAAAAAAATTGGAGCCTTTTTTAATAAATTGTGCTTTGACAGAGTTTTGCTAACTACGATCTATCACTTGAGATATACGTCAATAAATTTCAAACCTCTAAAAGAGAAAAGAATAGAATCAGATGCCACAAGAAAGGATATCCTTCCTCCAAAATTGCAGGCAAATTGGAGTCATGACTTTCAGAACTTCCACAAAATTTATCAACACCGGATTTCTAAGGAACAAGCTAAATACAACAGAGGACATGAATTTACCCGCAGTTGTAAACCACTTGAGAAATCATATCCAACCCTGATATTGGATCTACTAGAGGAACAAAGCATTCATCCATAACAGAAAGAGCCACCGCAAGTTTCACATTGCACTCCAAAACAGAAAGCCTTTGATTGAATACGCAGCCTTCATCTTTATCACGACGCTTGAGAAGAGTCCAGTAAAAGCCTCCCTCCAAGGGATTTCGAAGTCCAATAATATTTGATAAGCATACAGCTACCTAGAGACCAATATAAAAAACAAAGTTAGGACCTAGGAAATGACCGTTTAAGACCATAAGCAAAGCTTCCCTCCAGTCAAAATAAACAGTAATGCATTGGATTAATCGTAGAAAGTTGACTCAAGAATATCAAGAACCCAAGGGCTGCTTAGTTTGACATTACATTAGCACTGTTTACCCCCCAACCCCAAACCCCCCACCACCACCACCCAAAAGGAAAAAAAAAAAAGAAGGGTTCCCCCCAATCAGAAAACGATAAAATAAAATTAAAAAAAGTAAATAAGGACACCATGTCATATCTCCAAAGCCATTATATGGATCTCTAGATGTATTGGAACTTCAAACAAGTCAAAAAAAAAAAATCATTCTTTATGCTATACTTTCTCTATTAGGCAAATATATAATCACTTCTTCTTTCTTTTTTTCCTTTAAATGTTAACTTGGGACCTGGTAGGAATGGAAGTCTAGACATCACGTTGTGACACCTGCCATCCTGACCACCTTTGCCTAGAGCCTACTCCTATAACAAGATAAAGTTCACAATTACATAAACAAGGAAATGTCCAGATTACCTCCTATCCAGAAAAAACAGCTAAATTAATGATTGTAGTCACAAGTACCCATTGATCATGAGTATCCGATATCAAACATGGTCCCAAGGCATCTCATACCTTGAACCAGCAGAAGTAGATGTAGAGAAACCTAATGATACGATGGAAACAAGGTTCTTATATCGCTCCAGCATCCGGTGAGGATAGGATCTATAAGATAGTATTTTATCTACTGGTTTTCTATGTGACATCTTGTTTTTTGATATTGTCAATTGGATTCACCGTGATTGTTAATAAGTACGTGAAGTGCATTTCCTTAGATGTAGGGGTTTCTCGGAAAGGGGGGCCCTATCCCCATTTCAGGAGCTGAAGGGATTTGTAGTAGAGGCTTTACCTCATGACATGGAGAAAGGTTCGCAGGTCTAGGGTGGATGGCAAATAGAGGATTCGTATATTTTAACCTAAGAGATTAAAGGGGTGATATTAACCACTGAATCAATTATCATTGACATTGCGACTGAAGTACAGATATGATTATACAAAACCCAACTTGGTAGGAAAATGTCATATAAATAAGATACCTACAGCTAACACACAGAAGACAAGAATCGTGCTAGAATGGCACACCTTCTGGCAATTGTTCCCACAATATGTCAAAGCATCTGTCATCTCTTGAATGGTGTTTCCATATAGGCACTTTGAGTGATCTGTACGGAAAGCAGAAATCCAGTCCTTTTATTTTAATATTCCAATCTTGTACAACATTTTACGGGAAAGTGTACTACAATCCATCGGAGTCCCCACCATCCACTCAAAGACGGACAGCAATAGAGAGTGAGAGCAAGACCCACCATCATGGCCATGTCATGTTATGGTGGTTACCCCTCTGTCTCCATTACTTTGATCATTTCATTGGACGGTGACATCCATCAGTTCATTGGATGGTGACTACCCCAATGGACCATGGTTTTCTATGTTCCACTGGATTGTTATTATACTTTCGTCTACATGATGTCTGTTCAAAGGAGATTATGCATCATCATCATCCAAGCTTTAGGGTCGGCCAACAGGAGATGTGACAAGCCCATAGAAAATTTAATAACCACAATAGAGCATAAAAAATAAGTCTTACTCACATTTGATACCACATTGATTACATGAGAGCAAGACAGATTTCTCATCAGCTTTGTCCGAGGGCAGCATACAGAATGCACATTTACAGTGTCGGCAATACCAACTTCCTTCGGGAAGGTCCTGGAAAGAAGTAACTTGCACAGGACATCATACAAGTCATCCTAGTACAGAAGGAAATCTACCGAAAAAAAACATCAAATGCGAACAAAAACTCAGTGCATGAATGTGAGGAAAAGTATATATACCGCATATGACATGATTATTTAAGAACAGATGGGTCACTTTTTCTTACCATGGGACACCTTGAAAAAAAACAGTTAAAGTTTGGAGCAATTAGGCTAATGGACAATTATAAGATAAGTTTCTGGGACTCCAGAAAATGATAGGGTTTGGCACCCAGAACGAAAATTATAAGATAGTGCTGGTACCCCTTAAAACTTGTAATTATAAGCAGGTACCTAGACATGTTAATTTATTTTCTTTATCCTTTTATATTTCACCTTCCAAAGGTATTTGGAATAACAAACCACTTTTTCTGTAAGGATAATATAGTCCAAAACTTGAAACACCAGACTTTTCAAGTGTTCAATACATTTTACCTTTCTGTGCTAGCTAGTCTGTTGTCTGAAGTTTGGACCATATTTTTCTTTTTATGGAACTTCATTATTTCTAGTACCAAACTGTGAGGCGAAAAGGTTTAGAAATAAAAAAAACTCTTATCCAAGACTCCAGGCACTCCCTTATTGTTACAAGTTTCATGGCCCCCCCTGCTTATCATGTACCAGCCGCCGCATTATAATTTTTCTTGCATAATAATGATATCACCAACTAGGTTGTCACCTAGAACTGTTTATGAAAAAATTATCATAAAGGTCACTTCATCATCATCATCTGAGCCTTATCCCAGCTAATTGGATTATAAAGGTCCAAGTAAGATGCACAAGTGTACTCATTTACATGTGAAACAATAACCTTAATGAACCAAAACTCAGCAGACAATGGCGAAGATATGCATTTTGTGCCTTATGAGGCTTCAAATCGCAGTGGCTTCTCACAGTAAATGATGGAGGAAGGAAGCAATATTACGCTTCATAGTAGCTACTCTAGTATCTTTGTAACTTGGTTAACAAATTGATTTTTTCACTTGGCTAGGCCTATAGCCCTCTATTTAAAGATGATGGGCGTGGATTTTATGCTGCTGGAGTACTTGTTTTCTTAAACAATAATAATACTGTAAAACTGCAGTTCCATTTCAGATTCATTTTTGAGGAATATTGGTGTTTAGGATAAGCCTTACATTTGTAACTGTATCACATAAGGCCACAAAACCTTTTCTTATTTGGACCCTGTATTCCTTAGACAAAGGTTAATTGGCATATAAATGAGAATGAGGTGGTCTTCAAAAAGGCAACATAACAAGAATAATGCAAATGAGCACAAAGAATGTGAAGAATTTACCTTGAGCATCAAGCACTCCTGATGAAAAGTTGAAGGGCAATTATCACAACAGATCAAATCCCCACCATCTGCACAAATTCCACAAGTATCATCATTTTCATCTGGACCATTGAGTTCGACCACCCTCAAGCCAGCTTCCCTGCTCTTCTTTTCTTCTTCCCAAGCCTCTCTCAGGCACTGCATCAGTGTCTTACCAGAGGCAAGGCAAATGTTATCCCAAGGTTGACAAAGACAACTCCCTGCATGAACTTCAAACACCGACAATGACACTACCTTCCTACAACAATTACACCTGATTCCCTCTCTAGTGATCCGACCTCTCAAGGTGCCACCCGTGCTTCTCTTAATCTTATAGAATACTGACTCACTCTCAATCAAATAACCAGTATCAATCAACCAAGACAAAACATTTCGCTTTCCTTCTAATAAGGAGTCCTCTTGATTCTCACCTTTCATGGATCTCCTCACCAAAAGTTCACACCCACCACCCCTGTTTCTTTTCCTTGAGTTTTGAATTGAGGAACTCTTTGAGGCCGACTTCTTGGTAGCAGATGTTAAAGAATGTTTTCCCGCTTTTACCTTTCCATGTTTACTCTCAAAGCCGGCTACAATGGTGGCACTCTCAGATTTCTTCCCCTTTTCTGGCACCAAATGGCTGGAGTTACATTTCATTGCAACAATTTCATTTGATAATTCCTTCCTTGCTTGCAAAAACTCATTTCCCAAATTTTGATTTTTAATCGTAGAAATGGATGATTCTTTGTCTCTCACCTTTTCAACTTCTTTACCTGATCTTTGTTGTGAAAGCCAATTTTCTGAATTTTGCATTTGAAACACAAGATTTGGCATCTCTTTCGCTGTCATCTTTTCAACATCTATGTGTGGTGTACCCGTGATAAACTCGATAAAATCCATAGTCCCATTAGTTGGAATTTTAGGCTCTCCACTAGTGCTTTGAGTGGTTCTTGGTTCTCCTGCTGGACTCAAAAAAGCACCAGGAACTCCTGGTAACTTATTTCCATGCTGAATGGTTCCGCAAGTGTTCGGTGTAAATACTTGCTCACCAAGCCCCAATATATGCAGAATAGCACGAGACCCTGTTATCTTATCTCCATCGCCTTCATAATGTATTGTCTTTCTAGTTTCCTGAGTGTGTCGAGATAAACCAACCTTTTCAGATTGCTCAACTGCCAATGCAATATTCTGATCTATAGTACCCTCACCTGATTTCCGCTTCCTTTTCACTTTGCAAACTGGGTTCTTTTCTCCATCATCATTCAAGATCATTTCATCATCGCCTTCCTTTCTCTCTCTCTTCCGATTTGCTTTTTGTGTTTTATTTCTCTTTATTTTTGGTAGAGAGAGATCCCCCATTGTGACCACTGGCTCAACTGGTTCACGCACAGCATGGTAATTCTTTTTACCAGATATAGCCTGACCCACACTAGAAGAATCACATTGTACGTTTAAATCAGGTGTATAACCCATTAGAGCCTTCTTAGTCATTCCATCCATTGTACAGAGAGAACCAACCCATTCTCTCTCCTTCTGTTTCGAAAGTTCACGGTTCATTGTGTCCAAAGCTAGAGGGAGAGAATGATAAGCAGCCCCTGATGGAGATACATATATTGAATCTCCATAAGCTCGACCGTTTCCTGGTCGCGTTATTATCTTCCATCCTGCTGCTAAAAGAGGACCAGCAAGGGGATGTTGTGCCTTGTGTTCCTTTTCTATGACATGGGTTTCTTGGGGCGCCTCATCTTGAACAGGATTTGATACAGCATTATTAAAGCCATTAATTTCTACCGGGTTCTCTCTCTCTAGGGTTATCGGACCAGTACACATAGAAGATGTTGGAACCATTGCCTGCTTCTTTCTTCTGTCCTGTTTTTTTCCTTGATTCAAAGAACTGTCCAAGTGTTCTCTTTGTACAACATTATCCATCAAATTATCAAATTGTAGATGAGTTATCCCATCGGACATTTCATTCAATGTTCCTCTAGAAAACCCAATTTCCTTCACAGTACTTTCTCCAATACTTCTGTCTCCTATATTGGGCGCAAAATTGCTGGTAAATGCCATCAAAGGATTCCCTTGATGCAAATACTCATACTCACCATAATTTACAGCTACGTTTGAATAGTTATCAATCATAACTTGACCAAAATCTGGTCCTCTACCCAAAGAACAAGCCCCAATTCTTGAAAGTTCAGATGCATGCATTATATGACCCTGACCTTCTCCGCTAATAGTATTCCCTTCTCTCTCTGCAAATACATTGAATTCTGGGGCCATAGAACGGATGAAACCCATATTAAGAGCATTCCTGTCTCGCTCTAAAATGGCATTGAATTCCATGGCCATGGACCTATGATTCCCCGCATTGATCATGTCCCTTTCTCTCTCTCGAAATGCACCTAATCCCATGGCTACAGGGTCATGATTATTGCTAACCCAATTACCATTAGATCCATCCTCGAACACACGATAAGGACCGAATTGCCTCAATCTCATCTCCAAATCTTGTGTAAATTCAAAGACAAGAACAACTCAAACGCAGTTCAGGAAGATCAGTATTTCATCATTTATACATGCTTTTGGATCAAAGAGAAATAATATTTCTGCTATTATTCAGAAAATCAGTCTGAAAAACCTAAGTGACACAACATGATAGATCAAAGAGAGGAAATTTACAGAGACTTACATCATTTCGCGGAATATTTGAATCTTTCAAGAAAGGAGATACAACCATGGATAAGAAATCACCTAGAAATCAGATTTCATAGCCTGAATAATGCTCAAGAAGCGACATGCAGAGATGGCAAACTCGAGCTGCATTCGCCCTAGCCTCTCTCTCTCTCTAAACCTCCCCCTCTCTAAGCTGGTATGGTTTATGTAACTCAAAAAGAGGTTTCTGGCAATCGTGTGAAGTTACGAACGTTTTTACAAAAGTGTCTCCATAAAAAACTAGAGCAGAGACACCCATGCAAAACCGTAAAATTACACACTCACGCTTCACCGTCTCTCCTCTCTCTCTTAAATTAGATACACAGCAAAGCTACAAATTACACGCAGGCTTCACCCTCTCTCTCCTCTCTTATAAGCTAGATACACAAGCTTCACCATACATATACAAACGCGTGTACATTCAATGATTCGTGGCCCACTTCTCTCCGTGTGCTAGTAGTGATTTGAAAAACGTTGGTCCGCTCGGAACCATCCGGTCCGAATTGGGAATCGGTCGCCGAGAGTCAATTCTGATGATATATAAGAAGTTGTCGGGTCTAAAAGAGGATCAGCAATTTTATTTTTTTTTGCCTTTATTTAGTAAGAGTTGAGCGTAATGTTGCAAATGATCAAGCACTAATCGATTAAGTTAAGGTTCTTTTTTTAAAAAAAAAAAGTGGTTTGTAGGGATTTAGACTTTATTTTTTTATGAGAATGGAGCATGAGACCTCATCATGGAGCTCAGTAATACTTCCGCCAAGGCTCAGACCATTATCAAAAAAGTGATAAGTCAACAAGGATTCGGGTCCTTACCTTTGGTGATGTGGAGTCCGAGACCTTTCAATTGGACTCGGCAATACTATCGTCGAGGCAATAAAACAGCGTTTTGCTACAATAAAAAAGCTATTTTGTTAAACTAAAAACCCCGAATCATTGGGACCGGTTCTTGGCCTCTTTACTATTTTTGTACATGTTTTTTCACTCGTTCACTATTTTTTCGCATATTACAACAACGATTCGAACGGTCGATTTATCGATTCGGATCAATTTTTGTTATGCCCAATCCTGGTCACCAATATGTTTTTTAAACTCACTTATTTGTCTCATGTTCCTACCTCTCTTTTTGTTTTTCTCTCTCCTCTCTCACACATCGTCCTGGCTTTCCTTCATTTCTAGGTCGAAGAATATCTCAATTAAAGTTCCCCAAACTCTCTCTCTCCTCCATTTGTAGGTAGCATTAATTTATCAATTAAAGCACTTTAAAATCTTGCTATTATTCCCCTCTTTCTCTCTTTCCTCAATTAAATACCTCCAAAACTTTGTCTATCATACCCATCTCTCTCTCTCTAGGATATTTTGAATTAAAAAGTACCCCAAAATGTGCTAGTGTAGTAGGTCTACTCTTTAACTGCTCTCATTTACTTCCCATTAAAGTGTTTCCAATAAAAACAAAAGAAAGATATGCTATATTCAACCCAAAAAAGAAGGATATGCTAGTAAAATAACATTATTTCAAAAAAAGGGGTCCAAGCCTCTTTAGCTAATTTTAGCATCTTTATGGTTTGTTGGAGAAGATATCATCGAGGAGGAACTTGTATCATTTATGGGGAAACCATCATAAGGAAAATTTTGTAAGAACTATTTCTTTATGTTCTTTTTTTAAGCATATTTTAGTCGAAATTAGGGCTTAAAAAATGGATCGCCCTGCCAAATTGGTCAGTGGCTGGACTGACTAAAACTATCTAATTTGGCGATAAGCTTAAAACAAAACAATAAAAAATAATGACTAGTGGGAGGTGGGTGATTTCGGAGCTCCCGATTATTGGATCACGCACATAGATTATGATTCGGTGTGGCCGAATCCAATACAAATTATAGTTTTTCTAAAGCTTGTCAAAACTAAGTATTTTTTTGCCACTAAATACCAAATTCGACTCTTTCCGCTGAGCAAAACTCCTCTCCCCAACTTAAAAAAAACTTGCTTTTTTGGTTCAATTTAGAGTAAATTTTGGGCATTGCAACATTGAGGAGAGTCGCTGGGGCAAAGTTGCCTACACATCAAAGCACGTAAATGAACAAAAAGATGAAACACTATTTCTGTCTTTTTTTTTTGTTTTTTTGTTTTTTTTGGGAGTGACAGTATTTATATCTTTAAAATTCAAATAAACGCTGATCTGCACCTGCCTATGGACCTTGGTGAATGTTAGTGAGCTGACACTCTAATCATGGTTGACGGACGTTACAGATTCTTTTGAGAACATACGGACGTTAGAGATTCTTGTTCACATGTATTCTGCAAGTGAAGGGTCCATGTGAAATAAGCTCTTATGCCATAAACTTTTATGCTCAAATGTCACCACCAAATATAGCATGTCCAACCAATGATATCATATTGGATTTGGGGTTTTGGTGAGAAAAATGAAGTAATTCGGTATTTCGACTTATTCGAAAAAAAAATTTGGGTTTTTTTAATTTAATATAAATAAATTAGATATTTATATATAAATTATATAAAAATAATGAAAAAATAAAAAATAAAAAAATTGAACAAAATATATATAGTTTTATATAGATATTTATTTGCTTTGGCTGAATCGGCTCGAAGCATATCCGAATCTCACCGAAGTAGCAGCATCAGGTTTCACTTCACTTCGGTCTATGGCAGCACTGTGTCCAACAACTAAAACTACTGATTTTTTTTTTTTCTAATATTACATTGAATTTTATTTAAACTTCACTAAATCGGGGTCCAAATATGCCAAGATACTTAATGTAGGTTTACTTGGGGTGTGGTTTGTATAGAGCCTAGGCTATAAACAATCAAATTAGAGCCTACGTTCAAATAGTGTCGAGAAATGTGGTTTTAATGCTGAAAATCTTTGTGATAGCCTTAAAATATATTTTCATCTTTATTTATAAAGTTTAAAGCTTAAAAAATAATGTAGAACGACATATCTATGAAAACTTGAAACTCTTGAAAATTGACAGTCTAAAAATACGTTACAAAATACGCTATTTCCAAAACTTGAAATCTATTTTTTTTTCTCATGCCCTGGCATCTTGATGTTGAGATGATCAATTTGAAGATATTTAGGCATCAAAACTACCATTGAAAAAATCGGGCGATCTAACTGCTAACTGCCTTGTTAGATCAGAACTGGCCGGTTTTGGTTTTGGGCAGTTTTGGTGATCAACCGGTGTTTAAAAAAGAATTATATATATATATATATATATATATATATATATATATATATTCTCGAAAATAAAGAATTTGATTTGTAATGTATTTTTTAATATTATTTATACTATGGTAAAGATTAAAAATTGTTTTGATAGTTAATACTCACTTTTTATATTTCTCCCGTCTTTTTCATAAAAAATTAAAAACACCCTTAGTTCACAAATTGATTCATTAAAATCTATTTTTTTCATTAATTTTTAACTTTATTTGAATGTATTTTATTTTAATCATTTTTTATATGTTTTTCATATTTTAGTAGATTTTTTTTTGTATCTTTCTTTTTTTTTTTCAACACTTTTTGACTGCCCGGGACTTGCTCGGTTAGACCGGTTGAATCGGCCAGTTTACCAATTAAGCCAGTTAAACCGCTTCCAACCGCATGTTCGGTTCACCGTTTCGGTTCTATTTTACGAACACTAATCAAATCAACATCTTTTAACGAATTTGATTTTTTAGAGCCTCAGCCCTATATAAACATTTCCCTTACTTGAAAACTAATATTTTATCTATAACTAAGCAAGATATTTAGAATTTTTAGCAAATTTGATGCATATTTGGGAAAACGTGTCACGTGAAGGAATAATATATAAATATAAAAGAAAAGTAAAAGGTTATATGAGATGACGCCACTTAAAAGTACATAAAGAAAGAAAAAAGAATGTTGGCCCGTGAGCGGACAGAAGTGGAATCTAAAAACGAATTTAGAGGAATGCATCACTTATGTAAGGAATTTTTTCTTTTAAAATTTTTAAATATTTTCTTACAGACCATTGCTGGTATCGAAGTGGCATATTGGTGAGATTTTTTTTTGGGTGCGGCTTCTATAAGTTTACAACCTTAAACAATCCAATTAAAGTGCTACTCCAAATATTATCACAACATGTAATTTTGGTCTAAAAACTTCTTAGGTTTGTCTGAAAATCTATTTTCATATCTAATTATACATGTAATTTTGGTCTAAAAACTTCTTAGGTTTGTCTGAAAATCTATTTTCATATCTAATTATACAATTTTAAACTCCAAAAATAATTAAAATTAAGTAGATTTATCAACATATGAAAATCTTGAAAACGGATAGTCAAGATAATTTTTTGTAAGATGCATTATTTCTGAGACTCAAAATCTTTTTTTTTTCATATTCATACATCGATCAATTAAAGGGTTTTTCAACACTAAAACAATCTTTTCTTATGAATTTTGTAGTGCATCTTTAATTCTACATTTTAAGGTCGCAACCTTATATAAACATTTTTCTTTTTTGAATACTCATTATATTATTTTTTAATATAATCCATTACCACAAGTTTTAATTCAAAAACCACGGTCGTGACAGGGAATCACCCTATCCAATCCCGGAATAGGCCAAGACAAATATTTATAGGTCATCCAACGATTTGAAATTTTTATTTTTTCAAATTTTCTAGCATTTTCTTCAATATCTCAAATCACAATTCACGAACCTCTCTTTTATTTTTTTAGTACTTTTCTGGGTCGCTTTTGGACTGATCATTATAGGCCTTCCAACGATTTGAAACATGATCGGTGGGTGGGCCCACCTATCCATTTTTCAAACATTACTTTTTAATTACTTGTGGAACGTAGTAGAGGTGCAAACACTATAGTTCATTCGAATTATCACCCACTCATAAATAGATGATGAAGAGAGTGTGGGAACCATGATTTTCGGCCCTGTCATATATAATGTTTGATAACTAGAACCCAAAAGTTCCTAGGAATCTTGAAGTTCTTCCTTCTTAGAAGGAGGAACATTAACATTCTAGAACTGGTATATACTGTCTGGAATTTTAAGGTAGCAACGGAAGATGTGCTTGAATGAACTTGGAAGTTTGGAGTTTTTCTAGAGAGAGAAGAATCGATCAATCTCTCAATCAATCTATTTGAAAATAAGAATCCATGTGTTACACAGCCCCAAGTGAGAGTTTTTCTAGAGAGAGATTTATGTTGTTCCTACTATCCAGCCATCCAATTTTGATCAAGAGAGCCACTCACCGTTTGATTTTTGACGTCCTACCATACAACATAGAAGATCTATGCTTCTCCTACCATCCAGCCGTCCAATTTTG